ACCACAACAACAACCACAACAACCACAACCAGAACCACAGCCACAACCACAGCCACAACCACCGCGACGACGACGACAACAACAACAACAACAACGCAAACAACAACAACTACAACTCCAACTCCAACTCCAACTCCAACTACAACAACAAACAAAACAACAGCAGCAGTAGCAGCAGCGCCAGCAGCAGCAGCACCACCACCACCAACAACAACAATCATGATAATCATAATAATAACAATAATAAAAGTTAAAACATTTCATCAATAACATTAAGAGAAACCATCATAGCAACAACAAGAAAAATAATAATGATGATAACCATAAGACTACTGATAACTACACCACGAAAAAGACAAAGAAGATCAAGGCCCAGACTAATAGTTAGAATAATGCTACTAGTCGCGACAATAACATTAACAATCATAATAGTAACAACCATAATACTAACCATAATCATACTAACCATCAGCATACTAGTCATCATGACAACAAGAGCAGCAACAGCAACAACAACAATGAGGATGCTATGACGGTGATGAGGATGATGATGGTGACGACGAAGATGTACTCTGCTGCTGCCGGTCTTGCTATTAACAGGAACAGTTGGAAAGCCACCATCGGCATAGATGTGGTTTGGACTGCAGGCCGTGCTTAAGTCTACCAGCATAATAGTCCAATTGGTCGTGACGTTGCCATTGCAGTTAGCGCGGCTGCAGACAAGACGCACTTCTGCTAGATTTGCCGGAAGAGTAGTAGCGTCCACAAATCCCCGAAAGGAGGTCTCACCCGGAACCTTGCGAGACATGCCGGAACAGGCAAGGGTAAGCTGTTTTCCAATCCGCGCCTTGGCCTGCACATGGAGCCTGCCGGCTGGTCGTGCCCGGATATATTCGCAGGACCTCTTAAATACTTTCTGTAGGTAACACAGTTCCGAGTAGATGTCATGCGACAGCCGGATGTTGTAGGCACCAGGCGGCCATTTGTCAACGTTTCGGAAACCACGCAGAGCAGGAGGGGGAAAGCGAAAAGAGTACCTAGAACGTCAACTCCCAAATTCCATGTCTCATGGCTGGGGAGGCACGGGAACTACCCACCTGCATTCGCATGATACGTGCGACCATGATAGAATACACAGGCACCTCCTGCCACAGAACTTGGAGCAACAGAACCCCGCAAGCTTCAGCCCGACTCTCATGGGTGGCAGAAGTGGCCTTTGCAAAAGGAGCCTCGGGCTACAAGAGTGACCAGGTGGAGGGGGCCACGGCTGAAAGAGGCAAGCCGTCGGCCCATGAAAACAGGGTGAAACTTGGTGAGATCTCCAACTGGTGCAGGACGCCTCTGAATTCAAAGACTTGTGCATTGATGCGGCGTACTCCCTGCCTGCAGCAGAACCTCTGACTGACTGCCGAACCTGGGTACCCGTCTAATGACGCTACCAGTACGCCATGACACTCCTCGATCGGGGCAGTTGCCTTGCTGCAGCCAAGGCCAATTTCACCATCGTGCTGCGATCAGCTTCGTCCTGAATCTTGCTAGATGCCAAGCAGAATCACTTGCAATGGTCAATTGTCGCTGTCGACAACATATCAACAACTGAGGAGATGGCAGTGAAGTTAACCGGCTGGCGGCAGCGGTGCTGGCAATGCATCAGGTACCTGACAGATGGGCTGTTCTACTGTAATCGGCAACCTTTCTCCTAAAGAACTGGTCTGTGGAACCACCCGATGGGATCTGTGAGTGCACTGTTCGTGTCTCGAACCGTCTCAGCTACATGTCGTTTCGAGTTTAGGCCCCGTGAAGCACACCAGCTACCCCACAGAAAAAAGCCAGACAACAAGACAAATCGCCACCGTCCATCCATCAGCTTCGCCTTAAACACGGCATCATCAAAGAAGAGCTCTCAGTTGTTCTATATGCTACAGCGGACGAAGTCAGAGACACACCGGAGATAGCTCAGTCAAAACTCAAAACTATGGGCCACCAAACAAGTCATTCGCTCAAAAAGGCATGCGAATACTCTGTTGAGGCTGAGCTACGGATGGGGGGCTTTAGATGGTTTTAACGTTTTGCTACTCGCATACTGCGCCTGCTTATTCTTTTGAGAAGCCTGAACGGGAAGGCAAGCGCACCGAATTTATCTGCACTTGCAACTCTACTCTGATGAAAGCTATTCAGTCTGCTCTCTGACAAGCACAACTACACAGGACCAGAAACTTCAGTGGCTACAGCATTGGGGGGGGTGGGTTCTGCAGCTTGTGGCCGCACCAACAGCAGCATGCAGGGAAGCATACAGGCACGGACTAACTGTGAAGTGGTTTCAAGGCGAGTGGCTATGTCCATGACTGCTGCCGCAACCAACCACAAAACCATCAAAACCATCAACACAAGACTAACAACGTTCACCAGCGGTGCCAGCAGCAGTTTTGATGCCTTTGCGGGCATCATCCTCACCACCATCATCAGCATCATGGCTATTTCAATGATGAGCGTCATCACCACCGCCACCACCAATGTTGGCTTTGCCGTCGTCATCTGTATTGTTGCTCTATCCATGGTAAGCGGCATCTGTCATACTTTGAATCGAAAGGTCCTTCCCACGTGCCCCAGTGCGCCGGCCTCTCCTGTCCTGGGCCCATAGCTTGACTTTTTTGAGTTTTGCACACTTCAATGCCAAAAAAAAGAACTAAGTGCCTCAGATCAGCAGAAACCCTGAACCCTTCAAGTCCTATTGCTAGCATTGGGGAGTCGGCAGGTGTTTTTTTTTCCGGGGTGCTCGGTTTTTTGGAGCCTGGAGTCCCAGGTGTAGATATGTTACCCAGAGAGCCCAAGGGGCCCCTTAATTAAGGAATACCCCTAGAATTTACGGTATATTCCTTAGTTCAGGGGTATTGGGCTCTCTGGGTAGTTTACTGTGGACCTTGCCACTGTGCACTGCTTCTGTGCCTTGCCGTTCGGATCGTTTTGATGCTGCACTCGTCTTGATGGAGAGAAGCAGGAATCGCAACCACACTGCACTGATAGTAGAAGTCCCAAGATTTATAAGAAATAGCAGTTCATGATGACTACGCCGGCGATACCTGTCCTACGGGCAAGAAAGTATGTCCGAGTAGCCAGACTCCCAGTACCGGGTCTTGCTTGTACTGTTGTATATGGGTGGTGAAGGGCTCAGGACGCGGGATGCGTTTCTAGAACCTGGTCTCGTTGGGGATACGAATGATCAAGATCCGCCACACAACTAAGTAGCTGGAATGGGGACCTGGTTTGGAAGAGCCCAGAAGACCTTGCTGGAGCGAGAGTATGAACCTGAATCCATCAAGTAAGTCCACACAAAGATTGAACATGTAGAGACCGGAACTCGAACTTTGATGCCAGCTCAGAGGGTCCTAAGCTCAATCTTGTGGAGTAAAAACCATGTATCAAGTCCTATCAACCTCGCCCGCCCTCCAAAAAAATCAAGCCTCTAATGTCGTCTAAACGCAAACCTTGTTTATGCAATATACGCACTGCGCGAGTCCCGAGGCCAAAGCGTTGCAAATTCGGCAAGGACCAGGTGGTCGAAATAGGAAACTGCTCGTAAGCCTCAAACCTAAACCCT